AATGTAAGAAAAAAAAAATCAAAGTGAAAAAGTTAAAAAAAATAAAATAAAATAGGATACGTTCGGTCAAAATACGCCGAACGACAACCCAAATAGTCGATATTTTCATAGCAACACTGTCTTAGAAATATCGCTAGATTCATACTGATCATTCCTTTTCAATTTTTTTAATAAAAAATTTTGTTAAAATTTTCTTTACCATAACAACAAACTATCATCCTCATATTCTTTAAAATATATTTTCCATGCAAAACCCGTTGATTCATGTTTAAATAATTGAACTTCAACGATATATGATATATAAATTTATTAGTAGTTACTTAAATAAAATAACATATGAAGAAAGAATCCAAAGGAAAAAAAAACAAAAAAGTAAAAAAGAAATAAAATAAATTGGAATATGAAAAGATCCGTACCACATTACCGATCCTCATCCAGTCCTGCCGCTAGCATCATAACATTCTTCTCTTTGAACATTCAATAACTCTATACCGATCATTCAAATATCTTTTCCACATTGGAAAGAAAAGTGCCACTAAACTAAAATCTATCATAAAATACTATTGGCTATACATAGACATTATATTTTGGTCAATATTCATAGACGTTGTATTGTATACAAGATAAGTTTATATAATAAAAAAAACGTGATAAATTATGAGCCAGATCATTAAATATAAAAAATATCATAATTTTGAGTGGAAGTACCACCCGCTAACGTGGTGATACAATACCACTTTATAATTTTTGTCAAAATGACTTGGTAAAAATTGAGGGTATTTTTGTCATTTTATCTTTATTCAACAGAGTGTTTTCACGAAATGACCAAAATGATTGAGATGGACAAACTCAAGAGTCATTTCTATTGATTTTAAATCTCAATAACCAAAATGAGAAGTTATGACAATCTTAAAGACTATTTTAACTAAAAGCCTATTATAATATTAACCCAAAATATTGTTACATCTTGTAGAGCATGTAATGTCACCTGCATCACATGAGGGCACATATAGAACACAAAATACATCACATACTAAAAAAGTAGTGTTGATGTTTAGTACTACGATGAAGTGGTATTCCTCTTCATTTGTAATTGAGAAATCTTAGGTTCGATTCTCGCCAAATACGAATTTGAACCGCATTATTATGGATCGCCCATTGAGAGACTTAGTCCACTTTCCCACCCCTTAGTGTAGATAATATCATTTGTTAGAAGAAAAAAAAGGTGACGTTACACTTTTTGCTTCTACTCGCACATAAGCGGCGAAGACATTTTTTTACTGACACAAACCAAACTTAAAATGAAATTTAAGAAATAGTGCGAGTAACAAATTTTAAAGGACAATACTCGATTGCTAAAAAATCAACATCAACTCTTGCTGCTATCTAATCACAGATAGATATGTGTCTAATCTGTAATTAAAATCAATTACTTGGACATGTTTATGTATATTGTTTAATAAATATTTAATAAATATTGAAAATACTTTGGTCAATATTTACTGGTTATACATAGATATTATATTTTGGTCAATACATAGACGTTTTAATGTATGCAAGATAAATTATGAGCTAGATCATTAAATATAGAAAATCAACGATATAAATCTAAAAATGGTTACTTAAATAAAGTAACATAAGGAAAAAAAAAATCAAACGGAAAAAGTAAAAAAATATTAAGATAGGGTACGTTCGGTAGCATCAGTGATTGGCCAGCATCAGAGGCATTTTTTTACTGACACAAACCTAAGTTGAAATAAAATTTAAGAAATAGGGTGAGTACCAAATTTAAAGGGACAATACTTGGCTTTTGAGAAATCAGCAGCAGCTCTTGCTGCTAGTCAATCACAGATAAACATGTGTCTGATTTGTGATTAAAATCAATTACTTGGACATGTGTCCATGAGTGATTGGCCAGCAACAGGAGTTGCTACTGATAGTTCTGTTCAATTTTAAATAAAGTGTATACTCCAAGCAATAAAATATTATACTAAGGGTGCGTTTGTTGCACCGGACTAACTCGGACTGGACTAACTTCCGGGACTAAACTGAATTGGCTTAGATCAATATCGAAAGGCATCTGTATTGTAATTTTCATTGATGAATGATGAACCAAAAGATTAATGAATCTAACAACCAAAAAATAATAACGATTACCTTTGATATAGCATTTGGCAAGGTAAAAGAAAATCTAGTTTACAAAATAGAGAACACACAAACAACCTATATAACTCCCATGAAAATCTTTCATGCTTTTGCTTTAATTTAAGGGAGTGAAACACATATATCTTTTCCAAATGGGAAATAAAAATACCGCTTAAATAAGATCTAACGTAAAATATTTAATGGTTATACATAAATATTATACTTTGGTCAATACACAGACGTTGTAATGTATATAAGATAGGTTTAATAAAAAAATATGATAAATTATGAGCTAGATCATTAAATATAAAAAAATCAACGATATCAATCTAAAAATGGTTACTCAAATAAAGTAATGTAAGAAAAAAAAAAGTTAAAAAGTTAAAAAAATAAAATAAAATAGGATACGTTCGGTAAATATGTACCGAACGACAAGGCAAACAGTCGATATCTTTATAGCAACAAGATCGTCAAAATATCGCTAGCTTCCTACTGATCATTCCTTTTCATTTTTTTTTTAAATTTTCTTTACCATAACAACAAACTATCATCCTCATATTCTTTAAAATATATTTTCCATGCAAAACCCGTTGATTCATGTTTAAATAATTGAACTTCAACGATTTAAGATATATAAATTTATTAGTAGTTAAATAAAATAACATATGAAGAAAGAATCCAAAGGAAAAAAACAAAAAAGTAAAAAATAAATAAAATAAATTGGAATATGAAAAGATTGGTACCACATTACCGATCCTCATCCAATCCTGCCGCTAGCATCATAACATTCTTCTCTTTGAACATTCAATAACTCCATACCGATCATTCAAATATCTTTTCCACATTGGAAAGAAAAGTGCCACTAAACTAAAATCTATCATAAAATACTATTGGCTATACATAGACATTATATTTTGGTCAATATTCATAGACGTTGTAATGTATACAAGATAAGTTTATATAATAAAAAAAACGTGATAAATTATGAGCTAGATCATTAAATATAAAAAATATCATAATTTTGAGTGGAAGTACCACCCGCTAACGTGGTGATACAATACCACTTTATAATTTTCGTCAAAATGACTTGACAAAAATTGAGGGTATTTTTGTCATTTTATCTTTATTCAACAGAGAGTTTTCACGAAATGATCAAAATGATTGAGATGGACAAACTCAAAGGTCAATTCTATTGATTTTAAATCTCAATAACCAAAATGAGAAGTTATGACATTCTTAAAGATTATTTTAACTAAAGGCCTATTATAATATTAACCCAAAATACTGTTGCATCTTGTAGAGCATGTAATGTCACCTGCATCACATGAGGTCACATATAGAACACAAAATACAACACATACTTAAAAGGTAGTGTTGATGCTTAGTACTACGATGAAGTGGTATTTCTCTTCATTTGTAATTGAGAAATCTTAGGTTCAATTCTTGCCAAATACGAATTTGAACCGCATTATTATGGCTCGCCCATTGAGAGGTTTAGTCCACTTTCTCACCCCATATTGTAGATAATATCATTTGTTAGAAGAAAAAAAAGGTGACGTTACACTTTTTGCTTCTACTCGCACATAAGTGGCGGAGGCATTTTTTTACTGACACAAACCAAACTTAAAATGAAATTTAAGAAATAGTGCGAGTAACAAATTTTAAAGGACAGTACTCGACTGTTGAAAAATCAGCATCAACTCTTGCTGCTAGCTAATCACAGATAGACATGTGTCTAATCTGTAATTAAAATCAATTACTTGGACATGTGTTCATCTATGATTGGCTAGCAATAGGAGCTGTTGCTGATTTTTCATCAACCGAGTTTTCTTCAATTTTAAATAAAGTGTATACTCAATTTCAAACAATAAAATATTACACTAATTAACTAACAAAGTTTAAATAATCCAGAGACGAAAAGTTCTCATCTATTCTAAATTTTGAGTTCAACCGTGCAACAATAATTAGACTGAAATAATTTAAATCAAGCAAGACAAATAACATGAACTTGGTGAAAAACTAGAGATTTTTCATGTTTTTAAAATACGAACAAATATATCACGTGTTATGATATAATTTGAAATTAAATAAAGTGTATACTCAATTCCAAGCAATAAAATATTACACTAAGGGTGCGTTTGTTGCACCGGACTAACTTGAACTGGACTAACTTCAAGGACTAAGCTGGATTGGCTTAGACTAGACTAAGCTAGATTGACTTAGTGAAACGTTTGGTGCAGTGTTGGACTAAAAAGCATGATAATGAAAAGAAAATATATAAAAAAAAACCCATAATATATAACAAAAAATTCATATTATTTGCTTCAACTTCAATTTCAACCAACATCAAAATTTTCAACCTAAATTTTCAACATCCCATTCCTAAATCCAAAACAAAAGTGGCATAAACCAACCAAAATTAACTAATATGATAATTTTCAACATCCCATTCCTAAATGTGAGGATTTCTACAATCGTCACAAAGTGGATCCGGATGGATCCAATTCCGTTTTTGAGGCTACTCAGTTAAAATTAGAAACCGTTAAAGTTAAAACCCGCCCAATACCCACAAACCGTTGACCCAAAAAGAAGACCCATAAACCTTAACCAGTCAGATTAGAGAGAGCTCAGAGCTATATCCATGGCGACACAGAGCTCGAATTCTAGCGAACGGCATGCCCTACCGGATACGACTCACAAACACTTCTTCGGTGAGCCTTCCTTTTCGATATTTTCCGCTTCGATTATTTTGATTAAACGGATTTCATGGCTTCGGATGCAGCTATGATCATAGTTTTTTTTTTCTTAATTTAAACATTGAAAGAAATAATTCAACCAGCGACGGAAAAAGCATGTATTCCTTCTTTATGTATTTCAGGTGATACACTTGGTTCAGTTGTATATGTTCCATGTGAAGTGATGAAGCAACGCATGCAGGTTCAAGGCACGATGGCCTCTTGGAGTTCTGTTGTCATGAAAGATTATGTCGCCATGAAGCCCGGGTATCCAAATGTATGGTTACTATACTGGGATGTTCCATGCTGGCTGCTCAATATGGAATGAGCAGGGGCTAAGAGGATTATATGCAGGTTATATCTCTAAATCAATCCCTCTTATCTTTCATGGTGTGATATTTTCCATGTGGTGTTCCCTGCTCCTCCTTCCCTCTTTTCTCGTCGACCCCGTCCATCATCCTTGTACCAATTTTTCGTTAATAAACATGTGTTTCTTATAATAAAGCAAATAACAGACTAGCTTAGTTTGAGGTTGTACTAAATGCAATCCAGTTTCACCATGAGTCCAATAGTAATGTTAGCCATTGCCTGCTTACCCCCATCCATGCGTGCACCCGAAGCACAACACAGATAAGCCACACGTCAGGCATGCATATGCACGTACGAATTATGGCCATAATGTTCTTTCCTAATTGTGAATTTTTTTTTTCTTTCATTTGGCAGATACTGGTCTACACTTGCTAGGGATGTGCCTTTTGCTGGTCTAATGGTACGTTGGGCGGAGATCGCTTGTACATCTCACCCTTAACTTTTGGCTGTTGCTTCTTAATATTGGGCAAAATGGGGTCGCAAGTTGCAACTCCTAATAACAAAATTTATTCAAGTATGGTCGCAACTCTTAACATACATTCCCCACCCTGGTTTATTTTTTATTTTGTCTTAAAAATTCAGACATTATCTTTCAATGGTGAATCATATTGTTATGCTTTGGGCCTCTAAATGATTAGTTGTCGTTGTTTCTGCTGTCGCTTTTTTCCTTTAAGAAGTCCTAGTTCTAATTTCCAGTAAAATAATATTGTATCAAAAAATTTATATCGTGTGTGCTATGCAGGTTATGTTTTACAAGGCTTGAAAGATTTGACAGAGTTTGGGAAGCAGAAATACATTTCCATATTAATAGTTCTGTCTAGGGTAATTTATCTTGCTTATCTTTCATTATTCTGTAATTGAGTCCAATAATTAGTGCTTTTCCGTAGGGTAATTTATCTTGCTTATCTTTCATTATTCTGTAATTGAGTCCAATAATTAGTGTTTTTCCGTAGGGTAATTTATCTTGCATTGATTTTTTTAAGCATTGGTGTATATCTTACCACTCCCTTGGATGAGATCAAAACAAGACTACAAGTACAAGGATCAACCTTGAGGTTTGAGTTCTGTTTGTGGTTACTTTTATTGGCATTATTTTGAAATTACCTCCCTAATCTGACCTGGTATATGTGATATGTTCCGCACAATATTCATGTTCAAAACTTGTCTATGGTTTTACTCGTTGCATGGAAGTTAGACGGAGAGAGTAAAAGGGTTGTCCAGTTACCATCAAATATTGTATTGAACCTTAGGTACAAAGGCTGGTTGGATGCAATTCGCAGCGTATGGAGGGCCGAAGGGGTTACATGGTATATTCCAGCTTCAGCACTTACGTTTATGGCTGTAGAATTTCTGAGTGAACATTTCAACGAAGGATTGAGCAACGAGAACACCCGAGAAGTTGCTAGCATGTCAGTGGAGAAAAGTGATCACGTTTACAAGGAACCGCTTGAGAAGTAGAAATATATGCACAGATTCTTTTGCCCATCATGTAGTTCTGACGAGACTTTCGTCGTGTTTTCGTGTAGTACGTGTACATACACACGTATAAATTGCATTTAATCCTAACTAGGGTTTTTTTTTCTATCAAAAGCAGTCCAAAGCCTCCGGCAAGCTGCCTGATTGTGCGAGTTATGTCCTTGAATGGTGATGGTTGGGTAAAAAAATTACTCCCTGAGGACGTTGCTGGCAGTGTAACGGCGGCACCTTCTCTTCCACCACCACCTGCAAGCATCGGGCCAACAGCTTTTAGATAATTTTCTAGAACAGTCAGCTTTTCCATTTTGTAATTTATGTGGTCCCTTGTACCTTGAATGGAGTTTTCATAAGATGCTAAAGAGAGAAAGAAAGATGGATATAATGCGCCAGCAACTAATCTGCCTACATGTGATTTTTTTCATCTTCAAAATGTCGTTTGTATTGGTTACTGAACTTATTACAGTGTGTAGCGTTGAAATTTTTAAATAATTAAGAATTTCCTTAATTTTGTGCCCGCTTAAACTCTTTATTTTGAATAAAATTTGTAACGGTGTTACACAAAAAAGGTCCATTCTTCAATGTTTCAACAACTTCATAAAATAATAGAGTTATAATTACTGAGTACCAATTTTCGGAAAGGGATCATCTCCAGATCCCTTTCTCCTAATTTATCAAGTTCGGGGATCTGGCCCATTGAATTAGTCGTTGGATCAAATTTCAGTGGTCCGGATCCTCGGACTTGGTAGAATAGGAGGAAATTGATCCTTCTTGTTTTTTTTCAGGGAACTTTGACAAAAAGTTCATAATACTGTTCACTTTAACAAAAAATCATATTTTTACATTAAAAAGTCAATCTTGGTATTATTCAGTTTATCTTTTATTTTATTCTTACCGTTAAAATTCAAAATTTTCAAATTTTTTTCATTAATTTTTTTTTTTTTAAGGTCTAATGTCCTTTCCAGTGTATTGAGTATTGACCAAGAAACAAAATAATATGACCTTTTCATTGTACAAAATCTCTGTCTAAAAGTCTAGAACTTTCCCACTTCACATCTCTTTCTCGACTTCGAAGCGCACCACTTCACATCTATTTCTCCGTCGCCTAGCCAGTGGCCACCACGTCTCGGTCTGGTCGTTCCAACACGCCGCTTCTTCCTTTTTTTCTTCGCACCTCGGCCACCACCACCTACCCCTTCCACCACCTCCACACTCCGTCTCCCCCGGCAACCACCTCCGCGGGTCCACGTCTTCTCTCTGGTCATCACTGACTGCATTGGTAAGTCTACTGTCTACAAATGCTAAAATTTCAACGTAGAGTTTTAATTTGTAAAATTGGGGATTTGCGGATTTAGAGCATGTGTGGATGCGCTTTTAAAATGACTAAAAACGCTTTTAGAGCAGCATTAGTTATATGTTTCTTTCAACAAACATTTTAAGTGATTTTTCATAATTTACTTGCATTTTTACTAAGAATTGATTTAAAAAACATTATCCCTAATAGCACTTTCAGTCACGCTTATTTTCACCTTAAGGTTTCAATTTTGGAGAAATTAGAAGGGCAGGAGGTTAATTGGCTTGCATCAGAGTTTGTGAATCAGTGAATGAGAATTAGAGAAGGGAATTAATTTTCGGCTTCTCTGTTGTTTGCAGCGACTGGGTTGTTGCATACGACGGAAGTGCGGGGATACTGTCCATATGGATGCTGAAGGTTCTAGTGGTAAGAGGCCCACTTCCTCGAAAAGGAAACGGAAAACCTCTACAGATGATGCACAGCTAGATTCTCAAACGACTCTATGGGGAGACAAGATTTTGAAGGATCCATTTCCGGGAGGTCCGGAGGATACGAGGGTGCTTAGAAGTTTTCCCAAGTCATGTAGCTGCAGCTATTTGGCATAATGTGGTATGATGTTAATCTAATTTTTACTTCATTATATTATGCATATGTTTTGAGGATCATTGGTAATTCATATTTGTACTTGTAGGAACGTGAACCCCTTAGGGTGTTCAATCACACTTGTAAGCTTCAAGCATGGAAATTTGACCCATCCGTTTCTAACTGCAAGTTTTGGAGATATATTGATAGCTCCGGGTTGCGACCGCTTATTGATTGCTCATACAGGACATCTAATAAAATTGTTGTGTCCGCATTCTGTGAGAGATGGCAACCCGAGACAAATACTTTCCATCTACCATTTGGTGAGTTGACAATCACATTAGATGATGTGTCCAACATACTAGGAATTCCAGTGGATGGTAACTCTGTATCTGTTTGCGATGATGAATTGGACAACTCCGTCCTAGCTAGTCAGTGCCATGATTTATTTGTCACTGCATTAGGAGTTACCGATGATGAGGCACGAGCTGAGATGGGTCGCTTCAGTGGTAGTGCGGTTACACTTGAATGGTTAAGGCAGAGATTTCACAAAGTATCGAATGATGAGTCACCTGAATTTATAGAGCGTGCAGCAAGGGGTTACCTATTATATCTATTAGGTTGCACACTCTTTGCGGATAAAACAGGGAATAGGATATCTCTCATTTACTTGCATTTTCTACGGGACTTGAATAGCGTTGGGGGTATGCATGGGGCGCAGCAGGATTAGCGTTCTTGTATCGGCAATTAGGACTTGCTTCTAGACTTGGATGTAGGCAAATTTCTGGATATTTGACTTTACTAGAGGCATGGATCTTCGAGCATTTTCACAAGATTGCTACTCCCCATGTTAACGTTCATTACTTAGAGGATCAGCCGCGTGTGCGCCGTTGGACCCCACGAAGGGATGCAGGGTTATCATTACAGCATTTGCAGGCAATGCGACAACGACTTGATCTTATGCATGATACTGAGGTTGTCTGGGATCCATATCATGGTCAGACAGGACATCATTCTTTACCAAAGATGACATTCTATACTGGTCTCCTCAAGTGTGTGGATATCGTGGAGCCTTATTATGTTGATAGGGTTCTACGATAGTTTAGCCTTGTTCAGACAATTCCCCGAATGACATATACCCCTTCTCGAGTTCAACGGAGCACTGATACAAAAATGTACAAGGTTGTGCATACGTACTTTGATGGGATTTGGCAAAGGCGTGAATATCACCTTTTGGGACCAGAAAACCTTAGCAGGGAGGTTATAGCCCCATCAGATTGTGATCCTGGGTACCACTCATGGTATCGTAAAATCACCCATCCATACGTGCATCACCCTGATCGTAGGTCTGCTGCCATACGGCCACATGACATAAATGATCCACATCAGGTGATTACTTAAACGAAACTTTAAAAGTACTTAATTATTATTGTGAATAATAAATATTGATATGTATATTGTTTATGCAGCGCATAGCACGTCTTCTAGCCATCATGGAGCCTATTTCACAGTCTAATCTCCATTGTGCTTGTGGATTTTACGAGGCATTTGAGCAAGTCTGGTCAATTTTGCAAGGTACTCGGGCAGCCCAAAACCTATAACTCGTTCAACCAAGTGTCATTTAAATATTCATGTGCATATAAAATTGATGCTGGAAGAAGACACTCTGTGTTACTATGTATGCTGCAAATTCCCAGATGAGTTCATGCATACAAATTTACTTGAAAAGCTTATAACATACTTTCAGAAACTTATACGTATAGAAATGTGGTGATGAAAGAATATTATGTGGAAGCAAGGTTTAAAGCCAAGACAATCTAAGTGCTGCCAAAAGACTTTGAGGCCGGTCGCTTAATAATTTTCAGCAACTAAAACATATCGTACTGATAGTTAAATGAATATATATGCATGATAGAATTAGAATGGAATTGTTGTTTTGCTAGTGTGGAATATAATGGTACATAGTTATATTTAGATAATCTGGTTCTTGATATTTCTTCAAAATCTGAATGATATGAATAGATAATCTGGTTCTTGATACTTAATGATAGAATAGATAATCTGGTTCTTGATATTTCTGAATGATATGATTCAAATATCATATCATTGTAAGATTAACCACGGTTAGATTCAACACATGTTCCATCTAACAGTTCTTGATATTTCTGAATCAAATATCATATCACTGTTAGATTAACCACTGTTAGATTCAATGCCCGTTCCATCTAACAGCGATTTTTAGAGTAACCACTGTTAGATTCAAATATCTGCTGGCATGTTGAAAGGAGAGGATCGGTATGAAAATAGCGATTTATTATTATCTAGTCGCTATAAAAATAGCGAATTTTTGTTCAGGAGTTCGGTACTATTCCACCGATCATATCCTAATCTAATTTATTTATTTTTTCGTTTTTTCTTTGAATTTTTTATCACTAAAACTTATCTTTAAACTTTTCTAATTGAAGACTAACTCAACCAAGCAATGAATGAGAATCCCATCTAATCATGGACACTACAAGATAATCCCAATATATTATTTATCGGAATAATTCTTTCCTTCTTCATGCAATGGATGACACACTTTGATCAACTGGATGACAACACATGATGAACTTTTTCTACTATAAGTTGATGCTTTCATTGAGATCCAGATTTACTTCTCAAAGAAGGCTTTTGCAATTCCCTTTGGATTTTTTCTCTACGTTGAATTTCTCGTACGCTTTTAGCCTATGAATTTTTTTAAAAGTTTTTTATGTTAGTCCTTGGAAAAAAGGATAGAATGGAAATTTTATTGTATATTAGTCCACTGTTAGATTTAAATATCTCTTGACATTTTGAAAAGATAGGATCGGTATGACAATAGCGATTTTTCTTCTTTCAATCGCTACGAAATAGTGACTTTTTCCATAGTGGTTCGGTCCTAATATACTGATCGTATCCTATTCTAATTTATTTATTTATTCGTTTTTTCTTTGAATTTTTTTTCCCACTTTCCTTTATTTGATTAACCACTATTAGATTCAAATATCTTTAGATTTATATTGTTTTCAAATTTTAAACATGGATTATAAGACTGAAAATACATGTAGATGATAGTTTGGTGTTATGGTAAGAGATTAATGAATCTAACAACTGAAAAATAATAATGATTACCTTTGATATAGCATTTGGCAAGGTAAAAGAAAATGTACTTTACAAAATAGAGAACACACAAGCAACCTATATACCTCTCATGAAAATCTTTCACGGTGTTGCTTTTATAGGGAGTGGAACTCGGATATCTTTTCCAAATGGGAAATAAAAATACCCCTTAAATAAGATCTAATGTAAAATATTTACTGGTTATACATAGATATTATATTTTGGTCAATACATAAACATTGTAATGTATGCAAGATAGGTTTAATAAAAAAATGTGATAAATTATGAGCTAGATCATTAAATATAAAAAATCAACGATATAAACCTAAAAATGGTTACTTAAATAAAGTAACGTAAGGAAAAAAAAAATCAAACGGAAAAAGTAAAAAAATATTAAGATAGGGTACGTTCGGTATCATTATACTGAACGATGGGGTAAAGAGTCGCTATTTTCATAGCAACCCTTTTTATTAATGTCGCTACTATGGTACCGATCATTCCTTTTCAATTTAAATTTTTTTTTTTTTTTTTAAATTTTCTTTACCATAACAACAAATTATCATCTTCATGCTCTTTAAAATATATTTTCCTTGCAAAACCCATTAACTCATGTTTAAATAATTGAACGGTTATATTAACTCTGATTTTGATGATTTTTTACAGCTACACTCCTTGACTCTATATGAATACAATGAACTAATTCGATCATCAATTTAAAGTATTTACACAAGTGGATACCACAAAATCTTATGTTATACTCAATGAAAGTATAAATAAATTCCAATTGTTAGTGTATCTAATGTTTTGATCAGATACGCATTGTACAGAAATAGTTTCAACAATCTAACCGTCAAACTTGTTTGTATATGCTTCGAGATCGTGTATGCCAAAAATCCCAAAAAACAAAGATGCAGAGGTCAAGCAATGGGACAAACCTTTTCGACGGTTATAAACGAAAAAGCACGATTTAACGGTTATTTTAACTCCGATTTTGATGATTTTTAAAGCTACACTCCTTGATCCTATATGAATACAATGAACAAAGTCGATCGTCAATTTAAAATATTTACACAAGTGAATACCACAAAATCTTATGTTATACTCAATGAAAGTATAAATAAACTCCAATTGTTAGTGAATCTAATGTTTTGATCAGATATGCATTGTACGAAACTAGTTTCAACAATCCAACCGTCAAACTTGTTTGTATATGCTTCGAGATCGTGTACGCCAAAAATCACAAAAAACAAACATGCAGAAATTAGGTAAGGGGACAAACCTTTTTGACGGCTATAAATGAAAAATCATGATTTAACGGTTATTTTAACTCCGATTTTGATGATTTTTTACAACTACACTCTTTAACCCTATATAAATATAATGAACTAATTCGATCATCAATTTAAAACATTTACACAAGTGGATACCACAAAGAAAAAGGCAATGCAAGAACACCAAAGAAAAAAAAAAAAAAAAAAAGACTTTGCACGACGTACATGCCCCTGCGTCGTGCAAAACGGCTTTGCGCGACGCAGGTGGGCATACGTCGTGCAAAACAGCTTTGCGCGACGCCAGTCTTCGTCACTCAAAGATGTTTTGCGCGACGCATATAATCCTACGTCGCGCAAAGCTGTTTTGCGCGACACATGAGGACCTACGTCGCGCAAAGTCAACGAAAAACGCGGTAAACCTTCTTGGTTTGGCGCCAAAAGTTTGGCGACGAATGACGGCGTCGCGCAAAGCCGTTTTGCACAACTCTTTATTCGTCGCGCAAAGTACCGTCGCGCAAAGTACGTTTGCGCGACGTTTTGTGTTATACGTCGCGCAAACGGACTTTGCACTACAAAATTTTCTTCGTCGCGCAAGATGCCGTCGCGCAAACATGTTTTTCTACTAGTGTTGGAAGATATATAAATTTATCAGTAGTTACTCAAATAAAATAACATATGAAGAAAGAATTCAAAGAAAAAAAAAAATAAAATAAATTGGAATAGGAAAAGATCGGTACCACTCTACCGATCCTCACCTAGTCCTGCCGCTAGTGTCATAGCGTTCTTCTCCTTGAATATTGAATAACTCCATGCCGATCATTCAGATATCTTTTCCACATTGGAAAGAAAAGTGCCACTAAAGTAAAATCTATCATAAAATATTATTGGCTTCACATAAACATTGGTCAATATTCATAGACGTTGTAATGTATACAAAATAAGTTTATATAATAAAAAATGCGATAAATTATGCGCTAGATCATTAAATAAAAAAATATAATTTTTACATAAACCATACCTTAAAGCTGAAGTATTTAGTATTTTCACACATATTATTTTATAACATAACTCAAAAACAAAATTAGAGACAATAAGATACGGTATAATAGAGTGAAAAATCATTTTTTAAATTAAAATCTTAACGTCTTAAATCGGTTTAAGAAAAAAGGAAAGAAAATGAATTAAAATAATATTAGGAAGAACGAATTTTCATAAGGAAAGGTGTTGAGGTGTAAGGACACATCCTGACCTGGGCTTTACCACATCCCGGGTCCCGTCTCTGCCGTAACCCGATATTGTCCTCTTTGGGTCTCGACCACGCCCTCACATTTTTGTTTCTGGGAACTCACACGAGAACTTTCCAGTGGGTCGGCCATTCTGGGATTGCTCTCGCGCGAACTCACTTAACTTCGGAGTTCCGATGAACTCCGAAGTTAGTGAGCTCCCAAAATGTCTCGTGCTAGGTAGAGATGAGAATATACATATAGGACTTACATGATCCACTCCCCTGGATGATATGAGATATAACATGTAATTATGTGTGCTTCCCTTTCTCAATCTTCATATCATCGAGTCAAGGTTCTCATCCATTGTCGTTGATGGAAATTAACCAACAATTCCACAATGATGGTTACCCAAAGTCAATTAGGTGAAAATTTATTATTGAATTGGAATACTGTTACTGTGGCTTCCCGATTAAAATAGTACTTTGACATCCTCATTCCAAAGATGCCACCCGAATCACATTATACCATGTGTTTAACTTTTTATTCTGCCATCAAATGATGGGTTTGATATCCTCTACCTTTAGCGTTCAAGTTCATGTAAGCTTGGGGTATTTAATATCTCTACTAATTAATAAAACACTCATGGTTAACCAAAATCCTATGAAATTACTAGTTTAACCTTCTAATTAAAACAGAACATAGGGCAGAAATGCAATTTCCCATAACCACATTTTGCTTTTTTTTTTTTTCAAAGCCTCACCTACATGTAATCCTAACATCTCCAAAATCCACAAAAGCCATCGTTGGATTGCAAAATGCAGCACCAAAATCCACAAAATCATCAATAAGGTTTTCATCTATTGAAAGTTACCATTACTCCTTTCGACCCTGATATTTGAGAGAGAGTTGTAGAGAGATAGAAAGAGGTCGAAGAAGAAAGGGAAAGTCGACAGCGGCAGCCCTGGCTGCCGAATTATTTTCATTTTTTTAATTTTATTTTGTAAGTCTAAAATAAATATTTATTCCAACTGTAAATAAGTGGTATACATGGCAAATTCTGAGTGGACATACCACCGCTAGCGTGGTGATACAATACCACTCTATAATTTTCGCCAAAATGACTTGACAAAAATTATTTTTGTCATTTTATTCTTATTCAATGGAGAGTTTTTACGGAATGAACAAAGTGATTGAGATGGACAAACTCAAGAGTCAATTCTATTGATTTTAAATCTTAGGAACCAAAATAAGAAGTTATGCCAATCTCAAATACTATTTTAACTAAAATTTATAATATTAACCCGAAATACTGTTACATCTTGTAGAGCATGTAATGTAACCTGCATCATGAGGGCACATATAGAACACAAAATACAACACGTACTAAAAATGTGGTGTTGCTATTTAGTACTACAATGTAGTGGTATTTCCCTTCATTTGTAAGTGAGAAGTCTTAGGTTCAATTCTTGCCAAATATGAATTTGAACCACATTATTATGGCTCACCCATTGAGAGGCTTAGTCAACTTTTACACCCCTTAGTGTAGATAATATCATTTATTATAAAAAAAAAATGACGTTACACTTTTTGCTTTTACTCGCACATAAGCTGCAGAGGCATTTTTTTACTGACACAAACCTAAGTTGAAATAAAATTTAAAAAATAGGGTGAGTACCAAATTTAAAGGAACAATACTTGGCTTCTAAGAAATCAGCAGCAGCTCTTGTTGCTAGTCAATCACAGATAAATATGTGTCTGATTTGTGATTAAAATCAATTACTTGGACATGTATCCATCAGTGATTGGCCAGCAACAGGAGTTGCTGCTGATAGTTCTGTTCAATTTTAAATAAAGTGTATACTCCAAGCAATAAAATATTATACTAAGGGTGCGTTTGTTGCACCGGACTAACTCGGACTAGATTAACTTCCGGAAGTAAACTGAATTGGCTTAGATCAATATCGAAAGACATCTGTATTGTAATTTTCATTGATGAACGATGAACCAAAAGATTAATGAATCTAACAACCAAAAAATAATAACGATTACCTTTGATATAGCATTTGGCAAGGTAAAAGAAAATGTAGTTTACAAAATAGAGAACACACAAACAACCTATATAACTCCCATGAAAATCTTTCATGCTTTTGCTTTAATTTAAGGGAGTGAAACACATATATCTTTTCCAAATGGGAAATAAAAATACCGCGTAAATAAGATCTAACGTAAAATATTTAATGGTTATACATAAATATTATACTTTGGTCAATACATAGACGTTGTAATGTATATAAGACAGGTTTAATAAAAAAATGTGATAAATTATGAGCTAGATCATTAGATATAAAAAAATCAACGATATCAATCTAAAAATGGTTACTCAAATAAAGTAATGTAAGAAAAAAAAAATCAAAGTGAAAAAGTTAAAAAAAATAAAATAAAATAGGATACGTTCGGTCAAAATACGCCGAACGACTACCCAAATAGTCGATATTTTCATAGCAACACTATCTTACAAATATCGCTAAATTCATACTGATCATTCCTTTTCAATTTTTTTAATAAAAAATTTTGTTAAAATTTTCTTTACCATAACAACAAACTATCATCCTCATATTCTTTAAAATATATTTTCCATGCAAAACCCGTTGATTCATGTTTAAATAATTGAACTTCAACGATATATGATATATAAATTTATTAGTAGTTACTTAAATAAAATAACATATGAAGAAAGAATCCAAAGGAAAAAAAAAACAAAAAAGTAAAAAAGAAATAAAATAAATTGGAATATGAAAAGATCGGTACCACATTACCGATCCTCATCCAGTCCTGCCGCTAGCATCATAACATTCTTCTCTTTGAACATTCAATAACTGCATACCGATCATTCAAATATCTTTTCCACATTGGAAAGAAAAGTGCCACTAAACTAAAATCTATCATAAAATACTATTGGCTATACATAGACATTATAGTTTGGTCAATATTCATAGACATTGTAATGTATACAAGATAAGTTTATATAATAAAAAAAAATGTGATAAATTATGAGCCAGATCATTAAATATAAAAAATATCATAATTTTGAGTGGAAGTACCACCCGCTAACGTGGTGATACAATACCACGTTATAATTTTTGTCAAAACGACTTGACAAAAATTGAGGGTATTTTTGTTATTTTATCTGTATTCAACAGAGTGTTTTCACGAAATGACCAAAATGATTGAGATGGACAGACTCAAGGGTCAGTTCTATTGATTTTAAATCTCAATAACCAAAATGAGAAGTTATGACAATCTTAAAGACTATTTTAACTAAAAGCCTATTATAATATTAACCCAAAATACTGTTACATCTTGTAGAGCATGTAATGTCACCTGCATCACATGAGGGCACATATAGAACACAAAATACATCACATACTAAAAAAGTAGTGTTGATGTTTAGTACTACGATGAAGTGGTATTCCTCTTCATTTGTAATTGAGAAATCTTAGGTTCGATTCTCGTCAAATACGAATTTGAACCGCATTATTATGGCTCCCCATTGAGAGGCTTAGTCCACTTTCCCACCCCTTAGTGTAGATAATATCATTTGTTAGAAGAAAAAAAAGGCGACGTTACACTTTTTGCTTCTACTCGCACATAAGCGGCGGAGGCATTTTTTTACTGACACAAACCAAACTTAAAATGAAATTTAAGAAATAGTGCGAGTAACAAATTTTAAAGGACAATACTCGACTACTAAAAAATCAACATCAACTCTTGCTGCTAGCTAATCACAGATAGATATGTGTCTAATCTGTAATTAAAATCAATTACTTGGACATGTGTTCATCTATGATTGGCTAGCAACAAAAGTTGTTGCTGATTTTTCATCAGCCGAGTTCTCTTCAATTTTAAATAAAGTGTATACTCAATTCCAAACAATAAAATATTACACTAATTAACTAACAAAGTTTAAATAATCTAGAGACGAAAAGTTCTCTTCTATTCTAAATTTTGAGTTCAACCGTGCAATAATAATTAGACTGAAATAATTTAAATCAAGCAAGACAAATAACATGAACTTGGTGAAAAAATAGAGATTTTTCATGTTTTTAAAATACGAACAGATATCTCACGTGTTATGATATAATTTGAAATTAAATAAAGTGTATACTCAATTCCAAGCAATAAAATATTACACTAAGGGTGCGTTTGTTGCACCGGACTAACTTGAACTGGACTAACTTCAAGGACTAAGCTGGATTGGCTTAGACTAGACTAAGCTAGATTGACTTAGTGAAACGTTTGGTGCAGGGTTGGACTAAAAAAACAGGATAATGAAAAGAAAATATATAAAAAAAACCCATAATATATAACAAAAAATTCATATTATTTGCTTCAACTTCAATTTCAACCAACATCAAAATTTTCAACCTAAATTTTCAACATCCCATTCCTAAATCCAAAACAAAAGTGGCATAAACCAACCAAAATTAACTAATATGATAATTTTCAACATCCCATTCCTAAATGTGAGGATTTCTACGATCGTCACGAAGTGGATCCGGATGGATCCAATTCTGTTTTTGAGGCTACTCAGTTAAAATTAGAAACCGTTAAAGTTAAAACCCGCCCAATACCCACAAACCGTTGACCCAAAAAGAAGACCCATAAACCTTAACCAGTCAGATTAGAGAGAGCTCAGAGCTATATCCATGGCGACACAGAGCTCGAATTCTAGCGAACGGCATGCCCTACCGGATACGACTCACAAACACTTCTTCGGTGAGCCTTCCTTTTCGATATTTTCCGCTTCGATTATTTTGATTAAACGGATTTCATGGCTTCTGATGTAGCTAAGATCATAGTTTTTTTTTTCTTAATTTAAACATTGAAAGAAATAATTCAACCAGCGACGGAAATCAAAGGAAATGTCTATTTATTTATGAAATTTTTTTATTGGAGGGAAGAACATAAATCAGGATTTGATTTAATTGTCTTTTAATCTGTGAATGTAGTTAAGAGGGAGTTTCTGTGGGGTGCTGTTGCTGGAGCATTTGGGGAAGGAATGAAGCATCCGGTCGACACCGTAAAAACACGCATTCAGAGCCAGGCTATTCTCTCTGCAAGTCAGGTATGATCATAGAGCAATAGATGTAAATTCATGCCCTATTGTGTAAAGCTCAATAGGGCATGAATCTTATGTAAGAAAATAAACATTAAAGTTTTGGGTTGGGCATTTTATTTTCGTGCTAAAATGTTTCATAGCTTAGCTGGAAAATGCAATACTTATTAATTTATTTCGTGTTTGCAGAAACCGAAGAGCATAATGCATATGGTACGAGCAGTCTGGGCAGCCGATGGATTGAGAGGTACATCTTATTCCTCTCTGAAGCAGTTTTTTAGTTTTCACAATTGACGTAGTTTTGTTATCATAAAATATAAACCACCAGGCATTTAATCATAAGTTTTGGACTCCGAACCTAGGGATTCATTTTTCTATTTGTCGTGGTTTAGTGCTAGTGCAGTCTCTGAGTACATGGTTACTCCGAACCTAGGGACGTTGGGCACATTTCATTGCTGGAGCTGTTGGTAAGTTGTTCTGCAGCTCTCAAACTTGAATCTGATTCATGCTGATTCCATTTGAGTTTCTTGCAATGCAATTGCTGTTAATATGCTGAATTAAATGTTAACAGTATTCATCAATTGTCTTCAGAACTTCAGATTATGTGTAACATTATGACATTTGTGTTATTAACCGAGGAATTTGATTTAGCTTGTTGCAAAGATGCTCTTCAGTTTTGTGGAGTGTTGATTTTTTAAGCGACTGGAATCTGATTCAAAGGTTTATGAGTGCCATTTGGATTTATGATCTGCTAAATAGTTCTTGATCATTCATTTTGCTTAAGTTGGCCAAATAGTCTTATATGCTTGACCTTTTTATCCTGAATTTACAAAATCTTTCGACTTGACCATGCGCTGTTGTGTTCTCATACATAGAATTTTGTCCAGTGAACTTGGTATCTGAGTGCTCTTTTCTTATCTGGACGTGAATATTTGTGCTGGTGCTTTATACTCAATGACGTCCACTTGGCTTTCAGCAGCTAATGGTTGTTGCCTGCTTACCGCCATCCACGCATGCACCCGAAGCACAACACAGATAAGCCACACGTCAGGGATGTGCCTTTTGCCCAATTGTGGATTTATTTTTTTCTTTCATTTGGCAGATACTGGTCTATACTTGCCCGGGATGTGCCTTTTGCTGGTCTAATGATAGGTTGGGCGGAGATTGCTTGTATGTCTCACCCTTAACTTTTGGCTGTAGCTTCTTAATATTGGGAAAATGGAGTCGCAAGTTGCAACTCCTAATAACAAAATTTGTTCAAGTACAGTCGCAACTCTTAACCTGCATTCCCCACCCTGTTTTATTTTTTATTTTGTCTAAAAAATTCAGACATTATCTTTCGATGGTTAATCATATTGTTATGCTTTGGGCCTCTAAAATATTAGTTGCCATTGTTTCTGCTGTTGCTCTTTTCATTAAGAAGTCCTGGTTCTAATTTCCAGTAAAATAATATTGTATCAAAAAATTGATTTCGTGTGAGCTATGCAGGTTATGTTTTACGAAGGTTTGAAAGATTTGACAGAGTTTGGGAAGCAGAAATACATACGGGATCCAAATTTCCATATTAATGGTTCGGTCCAGGGGCTGGTGGTATGTACCTTGCTTATCTTTCATTATTCTGTAATTGAGTCCAATAATTAGTGTTTTTCCGTAGGGTAATTTATCTTGCATTGATGTTTTTTAAGCATTAGTGTATATCTTACCACTCCCTTGGATGTGATCAAAACAAGACTGCAAGTACAAGGATCAACCTTGAGGTATGAGTTCTATTTGTGGTCACTTTTATTGGTATTATTTTGAAATTACCTCCCTCATCCGACCTGGTATATGTGATATGTTCCGCACAATATTCATGTTCAAAATTTGTCTATTGTTTTACTCGTTGCATGGAAGTTAGACGGAGAGAGTAAAAGGGTTGTCCAGTTACCATCTAATATTATATTGAACCTTAGGTACAAAGGCTGGTTGGATGCAATTCGCAGCGTATGGAGGGCCGAAGGTGCACAAGGGATGTTCAGAGGCCGCATCCCCAGGGTTACATGGTATATTCCAGCTTCAGCACTTACGTTTATGGCTGTAGAATTTCTCAGAGAACATTTCAACGAGAACACCCCAGAAGTTGCTAGCATGTCAGTGGAGAAAAGGGATCACCTTTACAAGGGGCCGCTAGAGAAGTAGAAATATATGCACAGATTCTTTTGCCCATCATGTAGTTCTGACGAGACTTTCGTCGTGTTTTCGTGTAGTACCTGTACATACACACATATAAATTGCATTTTTTCCAAGGAAAGAAAAGAGATTTAGTTACGTACTCCCCTCCCGATTTGCCCGTATTTTCGTTTGGTCATCGACTTTGTAGCCGATGTTAATCCTAACTAGGATTTTATTCTATCACAAGCAGACCAAAACCTCCGGCAAGCGGCCTCATTGTGCGAGTTATCTCCTTGAATGGTGATGGTTGGGTAAAAAATTACAACCTGAGGACGTTGCTGGCAGTGTAACGGCGGCACCTTCTCTTCCACCACCACCTGCAAGCATCGGGCCAACAGCTTTTAGATAATTTTCTAGAACAGTTAGCTTTTCCATTTTGTAATTTATGTTGTCCCTTGTACCTTGAATGGAGTTTTCATAAGATGCTAAAGAGAGAAAGAAAGATGGATATAATGCGCCAGCAAGTAATCTGCCTACATCTGATTTTTCCATCTTCAAAAAGTCATTTGTATTGGTTACTGAACTTATTACAGTGTGTAGCATTGAAATTTTTAAATAATTAAGAATTTCCTTAACTTTTTGCCTGCTTAAACTCTTTATTTTGAATAAAATTTGTAACGGTGTTACACAAAAAAGGTCCATTCTTTAATGTTTCAACAACTTCATAAAATAATATAGTTATAATTATTGAGTACCAATTTTTGGAAAGGGATCATCTCCGGATCCCTTTCTCTTAATTTATCAAGTTTGGAGATCCGGGCTATTGAATCAGTCGTTGGATCAAATTTCAGTGGTCTGGATCCTCGGACTTGGTGGATTAGGAGGAAATTGATCCTTCTTGTTTTTCTTAGAGAACTTTAACGAAAAGTTTGCGGTATTGTTCACTTTAACAAAAAACCATATTTTTATACTAAAAAGTCAATCGTTGTACTATTCACTTTACTTTTTATTTTATTTTTATTGTTAATGAAATTTTTTTCATTAATTTTTTTTTTTTTTTTTAAGGTCTAATGTCCTTTCCATTGTATTGAGTATTGACCAAGAAACAAAATAATATGACCTTTTCATTGTACAAAATCTCTGTCAAAAAGTCTAGAACTTTCCCACTTCACATCTCTTTCTCGACTTCGAAGCACACCACTTCACCTTTCCGTGCTTTCTCCGTCGCCTAGCCAGTGGCCACCACGCACCACCACCAGACGACTCCTGGCGGAGCCACCGCCAGGTCCACCACCACGTCTCGGTCTGGTATTTCCAACACGCCGCTTGTTCCTTTTTTCTTCGCACATCAGCCACCAGCACCTATCCCTTCCACCACCTCCACACTCCGTCTCCCCCGGCCACCACCTCCGGGGGTCCACGTCTTCTCTCTGGTCATCACTGACTGGATTGGTAAGTCTACTGTCTACAAATGCTAAAATTTCAACGTAGAGTTTTAATTTGTAAAATTGGGGATTTGCGGATTTAGAGCAGATATGCTTTTAAAATGATTAAAATCACTTTTAGAGTAACATTAGTTATCCCTAAAAGTGCTTTTTCAACAAACATTTTAAGTGATTTTTTTTGCATTTTTACTGAGAATTGATTTAAAAAAACATTATACCTAATAGCACTTTCAGTCACGCTTATTTTCATCTTAAGGTTTCAATTTTGGAGAAATTAGAAGGGCAGGAGGTTAATTGGCTTGCATCAGGGTTTGTGAATCAGTGAATGAGAATTAGAGAAGGGGATTAATTTTCGGCTTCTCTGTTGTTTGCAGCGTCTGGGTTGTTGCATACGACGGAAGTGCGGGGATACTGTCCATATGGATGCTGAAGGTTCTAGTGGTAAGAGGCCCACTTCCTCGAAAAGGAAACGGAAAACCTCTACAGATGATGCACAGCTAGATTCTCAAACGACTCTATGGGGAGACAAGATTTTGAAGGATCCATTTCCGGGAGGTCCGGAGGATCCGAGGGTGCTGAGGAGTTTCCCAAGTCATGTAGCTGCTGCTATTTGGCATAATGTGGTATGATGTTAATCTAATTTTTACTTCATTATATTATGCATATGTTTTGAGGATCGTTGGTAATTCATATTTGTACTTGTAGGAACGTGAACCCCTTAGGGTGTTCAATCACACTTGTAAGCTTCAAGCATGGAAATTTGACCCATCCGTTTCTAACTGCAAGTTTTGGAGATATATTGATAGCTCCGGGTTGCGACCGCTTATTGATTGCTCATACAGGACATCTAATAAAATTGTTGTATCCGCATTCTGTGAGAGATGGCAACCCGAGACAAATACTTTCCATCTACCATTTGGTGAGTTGACACTCACATTAGATGATGTGTCCAACATACTAGGAATTCCAGTGGATGGTAACTCTGTATCTGTTTGCGATGATGAATTGGACAACTCCGTCCTAGCTAGTCAGTGCCATGATTTATTTGTCACTGCATTAGGAGTTACCGATGATGAGGCACGAGCTGAGATGGGTCGCTTCAGTGGTAGTGCGGTTACACTTGAATGGTTAAGGCAGAGATTTCACAAAGTATCTGATGATGAGTCTCCTGAATTTATAGAGCGTGCAGCAAGGGGTTACCTATTATATCTATTAGGTTGCACACTCTTTGCGGATAAAACAGGGAATAGGATATCTCTCATTTACTTGCATTTTCTACGGGACTTGAATCGTGTTGGGGGGTATGCATGGGGCGCAGCAGGATTAGCGTTCTTGTACCGGCAATTAGGACTTGCTTCTAGACTTGGATGTAGGCAAATTTCTGGATATTTGACTTTACTAGAGGCATGGATCTACGAGCATTTTCACAAGATTGCTACTCCCCATGTTAACGTTCATTACTCAGAGGATCAGCCGCGTGTGCGCCGTTGGACCCCACGAAGGGATGCAGGGTTATCATTACAGCATTTGCAGGCAATGCGACAACGACTTGATCTTATGCATGATACTGAGGTTGTCTGGGATCCATATCATGGTCAGAGACGACATCATTCTTTACCAAAGATGACATTCTATACTGGTCTCCTCAAGTGTGTGGATATTGTGGAGCCTTATTATGTTGATAGGGTTCTACGACAGTTTAGCCTTGTTCAGACAATTCCCCAAATGACATATACCCCTTCTCGAGTTCAACGGAGCACTGATACAAAAATGTACAAGGTTGTGCATACGTACTTTGATGGGATTTGGCAAAGGCGTGAATATCACCTATTGGGACCAGAAAACCTTAGCAGGAAGGTTATAGCCCCATCAGATTGTGATCCTGCGTACCACACATGGTATCGTAAAATCACCCATCCATACGTGCATCACCCTGATCGTAGGTCTACTGCCATACGGCCACATGACATAAATGATCCACATCAGGTGATTACTTAAACGAAACTTTTAAAAGTACTTAATTATTATTGTGAATAATAAATATTTATATGCATATTGTTTATGTAGCGCATAGCACGTCTTCTAGCCATCATGGAGCCTATTTCACAGTCTAATCTTCATTGTGCTTGTGGATTTTACGAGGCATTTGAGCAAGTCTGGTCAATTTTGCAAGGTAATCGGGCAGCCCAAAACCTATAACGAGTTCAACCAAGCGTCATTTAAATATTCATGTGCGTATAAAATTGATGCTGGAAGAAGACACACTTTGTTACCATGTATGCTGCAAATTCCCAGATGAGTTCATGCATACAAATTTACGTGAAAAGCTTATAACATACTTTTAGAAACTTATATGTGTTTGTACATACGTATAGAAATGTGGTGAAGAAAGAATATTATGTGTAAGCAACGTTTAAAGCCAAGACAATCTAAGTGCTGCCAAAAGACTTTGAGGCCGGTCGCTTAATAATTTTCAGCAACTAAAATATATCGTACTGATAGTTAAATGAATATATGTGCATGATAGAATTAAAATGGAATTTTTGTTTTGCTAGTGTGGAATATAATGGTACATAGTTATATTTAGATAATCTGGTTGTTGATATATCTGAATGATATGAATAGACAAAGTATGTAATTTCAACTCTCTTAAAAATCAAGTGCGACTTGCGCACTATTATTTCTCATCCTTGGATTCGTGAACTATTTGTCTGGCAAGGAGATTTATTTGTATCAACAATATTCATAAAATTCACATTTAATTTGTATTTCGGTTAGGGTCTGAGGCAGAAATTGCAGCAACAGCAGCAGCTGCTCCATCTGCAACTCAAGTTGTTGCAGAACCAGCAGCAGCTCAAGCAGAACCAGCAACACCTGTTCCATCTGCATCTACAACCCAAAACGTTGCAGAACCAGCCGCACCTGTTTCATCTACATCTGCAACTCAAGACGTTGCAGAACGACCAGCAGCTCAAGACGTTGCAGAACCAGCAGCTGCTCAAGACGTTGCAGAACGAGTAGCACTGCCGCTGGTCTTCAGTTCATCGTCTTCTTTTGTCAAAAACTCTGAATCCAAAGACAACCCATTGTCCTTGCCGCCACCACCCGAAACCCCAATTTTCTGGCCGCCCGACGGAACGCTCAGCCTTGAATGGGTTCGGAACCTAATGTCCAGTTTCGATTGGGCTTCTAGAAATCTTGAACCGAACCAATTTCCGAACGTATTTCCTAAGGAGGTTTTTGATAGCTTGGTCCTATGCGCCTTCGATATCCTCCATAAAGAGGCAAATTGCATTGCCGTCGACCGGTTAGGTCTGGAATCCACTGTTGTCGTTGTTGGAGACATTCACGGTCAGCTGCACGATCTCCTTTTCCTTCTAAATGATGCTGGATTTCCTTCAGAAAATCGATTATACGTCTTCAATGGCGATTATGTTGATAGAGGGGCTTGGGGGATCGAAACCTTCTTGATTTTATTGGCTTGGAAGGTGTTTTTGCCCAAGAGCGTTTATCTTCTTAGAGGAAATCACGAATCCAAATACTGCACTTCCGTTTATGGCTTTGAAAAGGAAGTGTTGACAAAGTATGGAGACAAAGGGAAGGATGTGTACCAAAAATGTCTTGAGTGCTTTAAGCGTCTCCCTTTGACATCTATTATTGGGAAATATGTATACACTGCTCATGGTGGGCTGTTTCGCAGCATGTCTGCATACCCCAAGAGATCAAAGGGAAAGAAGAGGAGGAAAATATCTTTCGTTCCTGAACTGAGCAGTAAATTGTCTCTTGGCACGTTTGAAGAATTGAAGAAGGCTCAAAGATCGGTTCTTAATCCTCCGTGGATGGGTTCGAACTTGATTCCTGGTGACGTCCTATGGTCAGATCCCTCCATGGATCCCGGTCTTTCTTTGAATGAAGAGAGAGGCATTGGTTTGCTTTGGGGCCCTGACTGCACTGAGGAGTTTCTCAAGAAGTTTCAACTCAAGGTAATATAAGATGGAATCTTCATTTCTTGGTTTTAGGCTTGAATGTTAGTTTACTTGCACGGTTACATGTTGGAAAAGTATATGTTGTGGGATATTATGTCGTGCTATGATCTTTAACAATATGCCTTTTGTTGTCTAATTTCTGGTGACTTGCTTGTTCTAGTTTGTTAAGTGATGCATTCAATTGATAGCGTACTGTGACTTCGAAACATGGCATGCTTTAATTGTAATCTTGAGGCCATGCACATTTCTTTTCTAGAACTAAACCTTTGATTAATTTTGGTTACCGGTGTTCCAAGTGCTGTAATGGTTGGATAGCAATTAGCCAATAACTATGTTTCCAATTATGAATTTGAATT